CCTAGACACTAAAGTTTATAGCAAACACGTGATTCGAGTAACAGAGTACAGACACTTTAGAAGATACTCATGATTATTGCTGAGAGGTTTTTACCTTTTTTGGGGGGGAGGGGGGGATAAATAAAATGCAAATACATCCGTTCGATTCCAGGACAAACAGGAAAACAATATCCCATTAACCCCTGGTGTACTTACAATAAGGGTCAAACTGAGGACATGGTTGTGTTATTCCCCTCTTTAATCTACAGCTGCCACAGACAGCTGCTGTTCTAATGTGTTTCTGTTCCACTATCCCTCCAGGCCTGCCTTTAGCCATCATCTATTGTGGATTTTAGCTCGGACACTCCTCTAATGAAATGGCAGATTTGCCTGTCAACTGCTTTAAATAACAAACACCAAAGTACGATTATTAAAAGAAGTAGAGGAGATGTAAACCCTGGCTTAGAAAGGTATCCTACAAATACCGATAGCTGTTTTTCAACGTCAACTAAGCTTAATATCGTCAGGTTTATCCTAAAGCTCTTCTCCATTCAAGTATCATTGAATGTACAGGTTAACCCCCACCAAAATATGAAGGAAATATAAGCGGTATAATAAACCCAATATGAAGAAACAGATTAGTAAAACGGCAAAGTGTTTGCAGTGATTTGAAAGAGGGGGCGCAGAAAGCAGCGGGCTAACGTTAGCAAGCAGCTAGCCACAGGCTAACTGACTTAGCTTAGCTTTCGGCTGTGATGTTCTCAGAAATCGAACATGGTTCAAAATAAATGGTGCGACGTTAGTACTGCTACTCACCAAATGTACCTGGCTTCTGCAAGTTAGTCCCAGAGTCTCTAAGCGCGGTTATTCATTAGGTTTGTAGGCCAGAAAGAGAGTTTGTTGGCGGTTAGCGTTGTAGCACACTGGCTGCAGCTAAACAAGGCTGTCATTCGCTGTCATCAAAGGGAGACATGCGCACACCGGGTATTGCTGCTGTCAGAGGGAGCGCCCGCTTTAAAATATTATGCAGGTATATCCTGCATATCTTATTTAAAATGGAACCAAATACTCTTACATTTGTTTTAATGCTTTTGGTATTTTTTATTTTTTTATCCATTCAAAATTCTGAGATCTTAAAGTTTCTGGCACATCTTCAAAGTCCGAAGTTAAAGAACTTCTGCTTAACATATTCAGAACAGGACTGTCAACTCTCAACCATTGGCCCAGGGCAAATCATCGGCCACCCCTGTGGCCATCCCTACCATTTATTTCCCTCTAATACAGATACTGGCAAAACATTTTAATTTTTCATATATTAACAATTACTTGACAACCAAAACACTGGTTAATTCTGCACATCAACATACTAACATTAAAGATGATAAGTACAGAATTCGTGCTCTTTTCAGAACTAGATTTTGTGTATTAAGGGGTAAAGAGAAAACTATGCATCTCTGCAAGTCATCTAGGAGTCTTCAGTGAAATCATAGATAAATAACTATTTTTCATAAAAACTTATTAAATGATCAATTTATGTAGATATTAGTATTTGTAAATATCATTTTATGCATGATAATTATTGATAAAAGTAGGTAAGTAATGACAATGGAAAACTCAAACGTGAGAGAATTAAATTTTTTTTATTATTACCTTATTTATTATTATTACTTTATTGTATCATTTTATTTTATTATTACTTTTATGTAGAAAGCACGGATGTTTAAATATATGCGTCTATTTGTTAGCAAAGGCTGTGGGAAAGTATAGTTTGTCTTTATTTAGAAAATATGGATGTTTTGCTTGTTGATTTTCCTCATGGAACAGTGTAGATTGACCATGAGGTTTTAGTGCCTATCTACTTTTGGCCACCCCTCAGTGTACATTGGTTACTACCTGGCCACCCTTATTAACATTTTCTGGCTACCCCTGTGACTCACACACCTCAGTGTTTTCAGACGCACACACTCCAGATCCCCAATTTTTCGCGCTAAAAAATGACGGACATGAAAAATACACTTATTCCACTTATTTATATATAAAAATACCATGGTGATAAAAAAAAAATCCAGTCCGCGTTTTCAACAATAATGCATAAAACATGCCAGGTTCAGATCCAGTCTGTAGTTTTGCACAAGTTCATCTATTCACTGAGCTGAGAGCATTTTCTTTTTTTGTTTTTTTTTTACTGAGCTTTACTACCTGTTTGCTCTACTTTATCCTCATGATTTAGTCCCAGTTTTAGTCCATGTTTTTTTTTTTTCATTATTGCTAAGTTTAGTTTAATATTCTCCTGTTGGATTTTAGGACTGATTAAACCAACACTAAATTAAACTAAATTCTTAAAGCTTTAAGGTTTGAAACCTGAAAGCTTTTAATACCCATGGCATTTTATTTTCCAAAATATCAGCCACCCAAGAAAAGACCAAGCACATTCAAAGAGGATGTGCAGAACAACTCAGTTATCCAGGATTGATATAAGAGGAACCAGAGGGATGTTCTTCTTTTATTATTACTTATCTTATTCATTTATTCTTATTTTGGTCCATTTAATATGTTCAAAAACTTAATTTACATCATATCTACTAAAATCAAACATCCACAAAAGTGCTGTGTTGTGTCATGGTAAGTTTTTGTAAAATCTGTTTTGTAAAAGCTGTTTTGTCAATTGTAAAAAGAATAAGATAATAACTTAAAATTTTTATTCCTTAGCCTATTACCAAATATTCATACACACTGTAGTTTATCACAGGATTCGATTTCAGTGGTTCCTGTATTAGTGTCAGTAATCCGATAACACTTATTAGTTCCCATTGGTTATGTTACTTGAACTGCATAGAATAATTAATAAACACAGTTGGGAAATTCTTAGTTTGTAGTATCTTTAAGATGCAAGTATTTCATTAGGGTCCATACTTCTTTACTTCAGTTCTCTGAAAATCACCAGAATATAGAAAATAACGGATATTGTGTGTTAAAAATATTCCACATAACAACAGATCACTTATTGTTACTCAGTAACATTTACTGTGGTATAAAATAATCAACATTTTACAACTTTGTTTCAGTTAAATCCTCTGAAAACCTACAACCTGTAGCTGCACCTATCCTCATCTAACCCTGACAAGGTTTGCATTGTCCACATTCTTTAAAAATCTCACTCCAAGGTGAAAAGTTGGCAGCCCTGTATTTAAGATTTGCTCTGATAAATGACTTTTAATTGCTAGTTGCAATATAGTTTCTTTGATCTCATTCTAAAATAGAGTAAGAAATAAAGTAGATTTATTTCTTTAATTTTTCTCATGGTAACAGTGGTGTAATTTTGAACTATTCACAACAGAAATGTTGGGGTGCTGTAAAATGTTGCATTTGTATAATATGCAGCAATAAAGTGCTTTTAATTATAATAACAGGTTGCCTAGAATACTAGTGGCAGCAATAGGCGCTTTCTTCCACTAGGTGGTGCTGTAACAGAAGAAATGTTGCTGATTCCCTGAACAGGCAACACCATAAAGCAGCAGAAATAGGATTGTTTAAAACACATTGTGAAAAAAATTTTCTCCACATGTTGCATTGTTAATATCTGGAACTAGGTACTTTAACAAAAAAAAAAAAAAAGAAAAGAAAAACATGATGTACCTAAAATGTTGACCATCATAAAGCTTACGCCATACGCCTTAATTTTTATGATTTCGATTTTTTTTTTTAAATAACACTTTAAAATTACAGCCTGAAATTTGCTACTACGCACAAAAAAATACATTTCACTTTCTGTGAAAAAAATTTTTTGAAGTATGACACTTTTTGTAATGAAAAAAAAATCTCAGTTTAACATCTAAAAAGGTGTTTCTAGCCCCAAAATCCTGATAAGACTCAGCCACAATAAAAAACTATTTTACAAATTCTAATTCTGAAAAACAGGTCACACTTGGCCACTCGTTAAAGTCCATTTATTATATATTTATACAGTAGTTAGAAACATCACAAAATATAAACTTGAGGGCTCTTGCACAAAGATATATAATCAAGTAAAAGAGCAACCTTAGCTTAGGGATCAAGGACAATAAAGCAGGCTAAGATCAGTGCTGGGGCATTGTTAGGAACATTTTTTAGGACTTATCTCGTAGTGCAAACAACTTTTAATTTAAAGGAATCGGGGTTTTATATATTAAAATAGGATTTTACATTACAAGGTTGCTCTTTTATTGCATATGCTTGAATTCAGAAAATGTGGTGGTAATAGTTACAATAAGGTCTCTAGGTCCATATGTTAAAATAATGCAAAATTCTTTGCAGACTGTGCAATATACCTTTCACATTTCTAAGCAGCAACTGCTATCAACATAATAAATTCACTTATAAGCAAAAACATAAAATACTTAAATAGAAATGACATGCTTTGAGCAAAATAGTAATCTATTTACAGTTCTGGTTAAACAGCTCTTAATACTTTAGAAATACCTACCCCATACATTGCTCTGTGTCAGATGCTTTTGTACTTAACTAAAGGCCACTTTCATACTAAGCAATTTGTACAAGAATGACATCAAGCATTAGTATTACATGAGACAAGCTCCAAATAAAATGCTTAGTCGGATGGGCAGAAAATTAGATGGCTGGATTGTACTTTTTTGACTATGTAACATTATTAAATAATCTGTTAAATGATATCCACGCAACCATAGTAAGGAAATATTTGAACACAAAAATTTGTTGTATCACAACCTCTGCAACATGGTATTTAAAGTTCTAATATAACATTTTGTAGAGAAAATAAAGTTACCATTGTATTATGGTATCGGTTGTCTTAAATGTTACTCGAGTGAATGTGCACTCCCTGAATAATATGTGCTTGATATATTGTCTTTTTAAGCTTCAAAAACACCTGAATAACTTGGTTTAAGCCTAGTCTACATGCAGGCTATCAGTTCCTCTTAGTGTACGATAATCAAAACAAGCCAACACGGGTAAACTTTTAAAAGTGCATTTGCTTTGTCTGAGTTCGGGAAGGGCTTGGTGACGGACAAACATAAGAGAAGGAGAGACAATGAGCAAATGAAGCTGCATATTTACACATATACAAATATCCAATTTTCTAAACCACCACATGTATTCACAGTATCTACATTAAGAGCTGCTGACATAATTTATTTGCTGTATTTAGTGCTATGCTATATAATATCGTCTAAAAGATGAGGAGTCCCCAGCCAGTCCAGTGTTCTTGGCTCAGATGCCGCCATGATCATGCACATGAACTGCTTCCCTGTTCGTTTATCTATCGGGTAAATTGTTGTGGGAGTAAACCTTTTGTTACTCTCTACAAACTCACACAGCTGATTATAGATTTTGGGATACTCGTGACGGAGGAAGACTCCCCTGGTCCTGAGTTCACGCTGGATGTTGACGAAGCACACCTCCCTCGCTTTCCGTCCCTCCTCCCCTTCTTTGTCGATGTCGGGTGTTCCTGGAGGGGGCGTGAGAATAAGAGTTTCCATTTCATTATCCATCTTGAGCACTTTTTTGTCTGGACTGGAGGAGGCCAAAGACACCTTTGCATATTTTCGAACTGTCGGTGTTTGGACCCTCGGTGAAGGTCTGTTAGGCACTAGTTCACCGACAGCTACTGATACATTCAGAAGGAAACATTCATCAGGGTCATACTCATTGCCTGCCAGCTGCAGTTCCTTGCAATATTCACCTAGGTTATCCTTAAAGCCATCCAGCTCTCTAAGGGACAAGTATGTAGGAGACATGAGGAGGCTTTCCAGCCCAACTTGCAGGAAGTTCTCAGCAGTCTCTGGATTTGCAAAACCCAAAAAGAGAACACCTCTTCCTCTGGAGAGGTAGCCAGCTTTAGCAATGCGAGAAAAGGCCTTATGGATCTCTGAATTCTCTCTGCAGAACTTAAGAGTATGCCGACACACACTGCTGACCCGACCATAGAGACATGTTTCTTTGTGGGTCTCCCAGTCATCCCTGCGGCAATTTCTTGAACAGTAAAAGGTGTAACAGCTGTGGCAGGATTTGAAGTACAAGCAAGCATTGAACATGTTCTCAATTCTGTTGCACTTCTTATTAGCGCACACCATTGTGTCATCTTCATCTGTGCTGTGGTCTGGAGAACATTCTTCTGCACTTCTTTGAAAAGCATCACACCCACTGTCTGGGTCTTTCAATGTATCTGGGCTAGATTTAGAGGATGGAAGGTGAGTGCTGAGGCTTTCTAAGTTTTCCAATGCAGGGGATTCTATGTTTTTGTCATTGTCCTCAGTGATCAGTTGTTTTAACTGGTCTATAAGGTTTTCACTTGATTTTTTGCTCATTGGGGGTTTGTAGTCAACAACCAAATCAGCTAAGAGTTCATCCAGTTGTTCCAGACTCTGCTGAAGGGAGAAGTTGTTATGTTTCTTTTCTTTGGTTATCTCTGTAGTGTTGGGTGACTTCTTTTGATTTACTAGCCTCTGGGTTGATGCCTTCTCACCATCCGAAGTATCCCAACGAACAGAATGGACATCATGACGCCTGGCATTGCCTGAACATAGGTCATTGTCTGTTATAGTGATCTCTGGAGTAACAAACCAGTGTCCACTCTTAGAATTTCTCCATGATTTGTTTGAGTTCCTCTCCAAAGAATTCTCCGACAGAGAGAGAGCAGCATAGCGCCTTGGTGAACTTGAAAGGTTAAGTATGACCGGTTTAGCTGTAATATCAGAGGAAGTCCCTTGTCTTGCTTGGTGAAACAGGTTCTCATAGCTTTGTCCACGTGGTACAGCTTGCTCTCGTTCATGTCGTGGATATATGATATTGTCCCAAGACTTGGAGTGGTTTTTGATGTCTGCTCCGAGTCGACTTGCTTCTGTGTAGCTGTTAGTAAACCACGGGGGAATGTTAAGGTCTTGTCTTACCCTTGGTGGTGTGTTCTGTGAGGAGTGGCTTGAGAAACCAGAAATACTAGAGCGATACCAATCATCTGAAAAGGCCTGAGACAATCGAGGCCGTCGATAACTCTCTGTGTTATATAGCCTGTGTGAAAGGTACTGCTCTTCAGGAGAGGAAAATGGTTTAGAATAAAAAAGCCTTGAGCCATTCATGTGGTATGGAGTAAACCGTCCATCTTCTCCATAATAAGCTCGAGAAAGTGGAGTTTGAGAAAAATAAGAACCTCTCTCACTTGTGGAGTAAGGCCTGTTATGTACAGAGTGAGCTGCCTCTCGGTTGGTAAGGTGGTCTGTGTAGTATGACCTCACAGGAAGTGTATGCACCCATCGTGTCCTTGGGTCATATTGACTTGTCGCCGTACTACCAAAACTGGTTAGACTGGATCGATCATCGTGAAAATATGTCCTAGCATAGGGGTGGATGGGATGCCGAGCAGCATCCTCAGTATAGAAAAACTTTGTCGGTATGTTAGGATTTGAATACGCTCTGTGTTCTTGGCTCAGGTATGGTGTTGTTGGTGATGGCATCCTGTGTGTGTCTAAATGCTGGTAGGAAATAGGAGATATGCTGGTGGTATAGAGATATCCTTGTCTAAAATCTCCACTGTAGCATTCGCTTGGAGTTGGTGTTGGAGATGAGGCAATGTGCCGTGGGACATAGAGTCCAGACCTGCTACTAGCCTGGGAATACCTTTGCCAAAGATGTTCACCATGTGTATTGGGAATCTGTCTCGATGTGTGCTCTAGTACAGCAGCATCTGGTTTGATGTCTACACGGCACCTGACATGAGGGCTCACGGCTGGTTTTTCTGCTTTATCATGTTCAAAACAGTCTGAGACGTAGAGGGGGGTGTGGGGTTGCAGTTTAATAGGATGCACCTCGTTCAAGAAAGGCCTGCTGGTGGGTTCTCGGTGGGTTTCAGCTGTCCTCATGGAATCTGAAACAGCCTGAGATTCATCCCTTCCACCCCTGGCCTGTGGTGGAGATACAGAGATTGGGACAGGGGTGAGGGTAGTCTTTAATCTCGGGGCACTTTTAGATCTTGATCTCCTTTTGGAGTCTGACCATGTAAGATAGCTGGTTTTGTCTTCAGTAGTTTGCTGCTGGAACTGCTTGGTATTGAAAAGATCTGGAGATGAAAATCGAAGATGGCCCGGCTGATCCAGTGCATTCCAGAGATCTTTATTCAATGTCTGCTGTTCAGGTCTGTTGTAGTGTTGCTCCATCGAGGAGGAGAATGACTGTGGATCATCAAGTGACTCAATGAAGTCAAAACTGCGACAGTGTCTCTTGTTAATTATCTCTGATTTATCAAGCATTTTCAAGTCACATTGCTTTGAGGAATGAAGAGAAACGGAGTGACCAGTAGTGTCGCTCAGTGTGAAATTCCGGTACAGATTTGATGCCAGTATATCAGGGGGATGCGTTCTGGTCATCTTGAAGGAACTTTAAGGCTCTCATGTCATGTTGATTTAGTATCAGGGCATCCTATAGAAGAGACAGAGACATAAAAGGAATACTTTTTTTTACCATTTATGATATAGTTGAGGCCAGAAATAACCGTGTAAAAAAACTCACTGTTTTAATATAACTGATACCAGTAGAAATGCCGCTAAGTGAAAGAGGCAACCAAGCCATGAACCACTTCACAGCACAGTACCTGCACAATATAGCAATTATCGAACTTTGAATGTTATTGATCTCACATTGGAGCAATTTACCTCTGCATTTACCGCCACTGTGCAGCACCCGGGAAGCAGTGTGGGGTTAAGGGTCTTGCTCAGAGACCCAGAGTAGCAGTCTGTGGGAGTGGGGCTCAAACTCAGAACCTCAGGAGTCCAAACTCTATGCCCTAACCACTAGGCCACCACTCTGCCCCACTAGGCTGCCACTACACCTCATGTATGACTTTAACAGCGTGTGTTAACATTAAAGCAATAAAATAAAATATATTTTAGAGATACACTTTTTTTAATTAGTTCAATTGAGCTTTATTTTATATTATTTCTTTTTTATGGTTAATAATAATAATAATAATAATAATTTAACTTTATTGATCTCACATTAGAGAAATTTACCTCTGCATTCAACCCATTCCCTTGAGGAGCAGTGGGCTGCCATAGTGGGCCGCCCGGGAAGCAGTGTGGGGTTAAGGGTCTTGCTCAGGGACCCAGAGTGGTAGTCTGTGGGAGTGGGGCTTGAACTCAGAACTTCAGGATTCCAAGCTCTATACCCTAACCACTAGACCGCCACTCCCCTAAATGCATATTTAATGTATGCATTAAATATGCATTTAGTCTTGTTCCAATCTTCTATGTTTGCCTTACAGTTAAATTTGACTATCAGAATTCACCATCTGAGTTAACTATTAATTTAATCAAATGCTTAACTTATCTAGATGAAAGACAATAGAAAAAAACCCAAACACTGTTATCAATGCTGCTACAATTTGTGAACATATATTCATGTATAAAAATCATCTATATTGTCGTTGTTCAGAATAAGTAAATGTATTTAACTCATTATTTAGCAAACATTACGTGGTTGAGAGTGTTGCTAAGCCAGATAGATGATGCTACAGAGCTGCTAAGTCTGTTTACACATAACAGTAGTTTAAATAATTTTGGTGCTGTATACTTTACTGAGCTATATCTCCTACACCTGGGAACAAAATTCCTCCTTAGGAAGCTTTTCTGCAAAGACTGGTAATTAACTATTCAAGAACACATGTTCCTGAAACAGTTCAGTGAAATAGTATTTACCCATCTTGTGTGATGGACATATGGTTGCACTCTTTTAACAGTTTATAAGTATTTATGATGGCTTAAAGGACATTTCAATAGTTTTAAATATCGTATTTACAATATCAGCTGTGATTAAAGTGTTCCCTTAATTATTTTCAGTGACTACAATCTTATCCTCCCTTTTTCTAACCTTCAAGACTTTTCATCATGATCAACCCTTATATCATAAAAGCTATTGAAAGTGTCTCAAGTTTCCAAGAATATTTTAGTTTTAACAGGCCACACCTAACATATCATGTACCACTATTTGCGTGATATTGCAATCATGTCCTCCGTTGGATATGTTGTTCTGCCCAATTATTCAGCAATTAAAACAGAACTCTATGAATCTCTAACTTTAAGGACTGTCTTAATGTATTATTCTTATATAGTCTTTAGTCATATTCACTAAATTAGAATAAATATTTGAGGCATGTTGTTAGATTGAGTGTACCTTCAGAAAACCTTTAATAAAGTATTAATTAAGTAAATAAATCCCCACATCTCATGATCTATTAACAGTGTATAATAATAAACATAAATAAAGGCTTAGAAATATGGATTATACAGCATTTCAATAATGTGTTTTACTCAGTGAATTGAATTACAGAAATAAATGAACTTTTCAACAAAAGTGTAATTTATATGTTTTGTGGCCGTATTCCTACATTGGGTCAAAGTCTACCGATATACTGCCAACATTTTCAAAATACATGACATGAATCTACTTTACAGTTAACCTTTCTGATTATTGACCCAGCTCTTTTTGAATTCTCACTGTTTTTGCCTGTTTTTTATGTTTATGACAAATTGACATACCTCTCACCATTAAAAAAACTAACTTGTCTTTTCTATTTTAACTAACAAAAAGAAAAACTGATGCTCATGCTCTGCAGCATGGTGACCCTGCGATAGCAGCAGTCTGTCTTCTGAGAGCAAGTTTCCATAATGGTTTGGAACCAAATTTAACCTCTTAATATCCACCTCATTTTGGGAAATTCTTGCCTATTTCGCAAACCCAAATGGAAAAGCAAATAACTGAGGAACTGTAAGCCCAAATGACATGTGTGATACGTTATTTGAAAGCTAACACGTTCTAGTTTCTGAATATATATAAAATTGGGTGAGTAAAACACATAAGCTGCATCAAGCCCAAGCTGCATCTGTTCAAACAAGACTCAAAGTTGTTTGTTTTTTTATTCTTGAAAATAATAGGTCTTTTTTGAACAGCAGTTATAAAGACAAGGTTGCTTGTTGTGGCTGCTTTGTCATGGTACATTATGACATGGTGCTATATCTGTCTTAATTGTACTTCAATCCTCGCTGTGTCCATAAAATGCACTAGGTGGTTGAATTGTGGAGAATCTAAGCTTTCCAACGATGTCTAACATGTCTACATTGTTGAACATTTTAGCAGGGTAATTTTCATGCATTCTGGGTTATTATTTGTCAACGCTTTAAAACTGAGGTTTTAAAATGTCCAATGAAAATATGTTTTATACAGAATTATTTTGATCTTTATGTTTCTGTCTGAGACTTTCAATGCCGAACATTAGTCAACATATAACCGTCAGGATCATCCAGTCTGGATCTGTAGATATTTCAGTGTTAACTGGATAGCTGGAAATCTGAACTAAGAATGAAATTGGGTTAAGATCACTTTTTTCCCATGCAGAGAAAAAAACTGCAATAAAATGTCTCAAATGAATAAAGTTCAACCTGCTATTGACTCTTATCGAAAGGTGTTTGAAGAAATAATTTTGGTTACTTAAGAGAGTAAGAGAGAAAACGTTTAAACAAGGGACGCTTATTTATCTAACACAAACATGGATTTTCTAGTTGGCACTCACCCACCAGCCAACCGTGAGTTACCATCTGTTCATCATTTGCAGAGGAGTGACCAGCAATCTCCCCATCATGTCTCCACAGCTCACCTTAATATCATGTCTAGTGGTTAAACTCAAAAAGGTGAAATCAGATTAATTTGCATTAGATGTCCTATTATATAGCATGTGGATAGGCTATATAATATGTACTAAGGAGGGCTGTCTTACAAAAATACATGTTTTAGATTGCAACGTCTTAATAAATAAACATATAATAGATGATTTGTAATAAGTAGTGTGTTTCTATTTTGACTGAAGCCTTTAACACTCACTTAGAAGCTTATTTTTTTGTCAAAATAATACAGATTCAGAAAAAGTTAGAAGTTGCAACTCATTTCTGAATATTGATAATTCCCTAACTTTTATCTTGACTAGGTAAATATGTGCATTCCTTCCTCCACTCATTCCCATGCTCCAAAGCTCCTTTTCAGTTTGGACACTGCACTTTCAGTTCAAAACCACATGCCACATACTGTCTCCATGGCTACAGCCCACAGCAAGAAAACCATTCAGCCCCCCTGCAGTTGCATAAATCTCAGTCTAAAATTAAAACTGACTAATAATTAGCAGGCATTGATTTAAACTCGTGCCAAGGGCCATCTTTGGCACCAAAAATGTTTCAGGAACCTTTTTTAGTGTTACATTGATTTATTTTTAAATTTTTATCACCATTATTTATCAATAGTGTTTTCTTTCCCTGGGGTGTTGAGGACAGTGATGAAGCCGATGCAGATCTCTCAGGCCCGTGGGGCGCATTCAGCCTTGGAGTTGTTGCTTTCACGCGCTCGTGCGCCCCTTTAATTTTTGTGCTGCGACAATGGCTTCCAGGGCCGTCCATCTTTCCTTCTCGCCTTTAAGCTCGAAATTAGGTTTGGGGAAGAAAAAACGAAGGGAAGCAAAAAGTTTGGAGATTTAGGAAAGGTACCAGGGAGGCCTCTCTTACCGTGTCGGCGGAGAACTGATGGGATGCGGTGGACATGATGGTTTAGTGCAGCCTGTCCTGTCTCCGCGCGGCGCAGAATAAACCTTAACGCACCTGCTGCGATCCTCCAGGAGCCGAGCACCCGTCCTTCATGTTATCTGCATCACCCAGCTCCTCTCCCTCATAGCTCTGTGTTGGTGCGTGATGGAGGAGGAGGTGTGTCACAGCTTGCGCCTGTGCGCGTGCCTCTGTGGGCGTGGTTGTGCGTGTTTTCAGAGGAGAGGAGGGGAGGGAGGGGAGCAATGCGGTCTATGCTGAGATGTTATGGGCATTTCCGGGCTATTTTTGTATTATTTCATGTGCATTTTGTAATAAAAGAATTGGTTTAATTTGCTGTTTATGATGATAAAATAGAATCCGACGCATTGAATTTCAGATTTTGTGCAGTAAACAATTTGTCTGCAGGTTTTTTCACTTGACTGGCAACTGCTGGTGTCCCTCCCACACTCTTGGGCATAAGGTAGAGAAAACTTGTCTTATGCCAAGACTTGTTTTCATAGAGGAAGTAGGCCTACACAGACTAAAAACTGCAAGATGAGTTGGCCTCTAGTCTAGGTGTCATTCAGCTAACCCAGCTCTGAGTCATTTGTTGATATTGATGTTAGACTGCTGATTAACACAAAAAATGATAAAGGAAAATGTAGAGAAATAATTTCTTAGTTGAAACATATTTTTTATTTTGACTTATTCAACCCGTTTGCATCAAGTTGGTGCTTTAAGTGTGTTTAAGCATCAAGAAAGTGCCAGCAATGAGGTGCTGTTGATCCATCAGCTTTGTGAATCTCCAGAAATGTTCTGTGTGGCTGAGAAACTTTGTAATGGCCTTTATTCTGGTCTTTGTGTATCTAATATGTCTTATGCTTAGGACCTCTGATCTTATGGAAGTCCTCTTTTTTGTGTCTCATTTATGACCCAATATTTTGGTTTGAACTACCTACCTAACCTCTACAAATGGCAGGGCTGCTCAGTGGAACAGTGGATAGAACAGTTGGTAGCACTGTGCCACTGCTGCCTTAAAATGAAACAATATGACCGTTTCACTAATCAACATATATAGCACTACTCAGTTAGAAAATTACCATTTATTTATTGCTTTAAGTAAGCAAACTGGTTCTAAGATGTGAACTAAAGTCATTAAGATAACCTACTGGCATGAGTTTCATTATTAATGTTATCATGATTATTCAATTAATTTGATCAGATATCCCTTTCATCCTATAGTTGCTGTTTGGTAAGTATGATCAGTTTGTTGTATGTCTTATGCTGGTAGAATAATCAGACTCCTTTTTCTTGTCTAAACTCACAAACTTGAACCAAAAATCTGACCAGTTTTATAATACATCTTTCCCAGCAGCATAAAGCGTTAGATCCAATGATCAGCTATTGCTCACTGTTCCCTTTGCCCGCACAGAAGTAGGGAAGAAAGCCTTTAGCAACGCAGCTTCTTGTGCGGGGAATTTTTTTTTTCCAAAGAAACTGGAAGTTGACTGAGTTTTTATCTTTAAATGCTGTTAAGTTGAAAGTGAAAGAATTTGAAGCAGCCTCAATGATCCGCAATTGTTTTAATTTATATGTTTTTGTTTATGTACCTGTCATTTCTTTTAATGTATCTCTGCTTTTTATGTAACTTTGCTGTGTCAGGACTCCCTTGAAAAAGAGTTCTTTACATATTTGTTTTTATCTTACTGAGAAACCAAATGGTAGAGCCATTTTTCTGCTCTAAGGATATGTTTTTATCCAAATTTGGATCATTAAGTTGCATTTCTGCAGTACTTTAAAACACCTGTAACTTTTATGCAACATGCTAGTTTGTTATTTTCTTGCTGATCTTGTTGTCTCTACAAGCAGCTCGCCCTCCAAACACCAACCTCTCCTCATCCTTCTGCATTATCTGAATTGATGATGGGGACAGCTGGCTGCGAGCCTCAGCTCCAAGCATGTGACTCCAGCAGAGGAACTGCTTACTGAAGCACTCTTCCTGCGGATGAAAGTCACTACAGACATACTCTGCTGATCAGGCTGATGATTGTAATGATTCTCTGTGACAGAGACATTTTTTTTCCACATAAAACAGAGCTCCTCTGTGCTTTAGCACATCAGAGGATTGAAGATTTTGTTTCTTTTTGTCAGAGTGTTTGGAGATGGCAAGTCCTCCTGCACACTGGTTACAAAACAACCCCCAGCTTACCGAAAACCCATCTGTGACATACCACGTGCACGAGATATGATTCACAAAACATCAGATCCCACTTTGTGTATGGAGGATCTTTATGTTAACATGTGTACTTCACCCGCTCCAGCATGGCGAACTGGCACCAGCGTGTGTCAGCTGTTGGTTAGCAGTGTCTGTCAGCTGGCTGCCAGCAGGTGTCTTGGGTATCTCAAAGAGTGCGTGGAGAGAAAATCAATGGCTCTCTGTTGATTAGAAACGCTACTGAAGGAAATCAATCAGGCTTTTACCACCACAAAGTAAGAGCATTTAAGCATGGCCCTGACGGCTCAAACAAGCTTTCATGCATCTCAGTAAACAACCTTCAGTTCTTGCACAGATTCCTATTAAGTCTGTTAGATTAAGTGATTCGCTGTAGATTTACTTTCTGGGTTTTAAATTCCCACTGGAGGGAATTACATAAGAAATGAGAGGATGGACACACAACCAGAAACCAGTGCATGGAAAGTTTAGTCTTAAATAGCTACTCTACATTGACAAATTTTCCATATCATCTAAAATATCAAAGTCATTCATTTGTTTTTGATTCATGTGGTAAGAATCAGAATCAGAAATACTTTAATAATGCCAGAGGGAAATTACTTTTGATACACGCTCCAGTTACAGTTTTATATAATATATACACACATCCAACTATACAATATAATAAAGATAAAAAAATAAGGATAAAAAGTAATAAAATATATACACATATAGCTCTTCTGTATATATATCTGTACATGTATCTATGCATATGTAAAAACTAAATCCAAATAAAGTGAAAATCCAAGTAAAGTGAGAAATCCAAGTAAAGTAGCATACAATTGTCCAATATTAAGCTCCACTCATGTTCCCTTCAAGTCTGACACCAATTTTGAAGACTCTACAGCATATAGCCATTATTGTTTCTGAAAGTTTTCATTTTTATTAGGATGTTCTGGATGTGTTAACTTTCCAACACACACTGCATTTCACATTTAAGCCAGAGTTTCCATTTCATTCTTATTCCAGTTCAATCTTCCACATCTCCAATTAAATTTACATTGCAAACCCAAGTTAGTTAACTGAATTCAATACTTTTGTTAAATTACCTTGAAAAATCAACAAAATCAACCTTTTTATATAATGAAGTAACATTAAAATATTATATATAATGTTTTTAACTATATATTACTTTATAATTGTTTTTTTTTATTTAGAACAGAAGACATATTTATTTATTTTATTAAATATACTTTTCTTTTCTTTTTATATTTGTATTTTTCATTGTAGAATGCTTACTGTTGTGTTTTTTTTTTAGGTAGACAATTTTAAGATCTGTCCAGGGACAGCAGATGAAAAATAGCCTTTTGGCTAATTCTGGTGCATTTGCAGGAGTGTTTTTAATGTACACTGTCCATGTCAAATAAATAAATAAATAAAATTTTAGGTCTCTGTTACTTCAAACATTTCTTGTGACCAAATAATAACTTCTCAGTTATGCTCCTAAATCTTTTCAATTACATTTAAATAAGATAGTTGATTGAAAGTTCTAGTTTCTTTTTCTCAGCTAACCTAAAAGACCTGACTCTTTAAAACTTTTTGCAGATTATCCTGTGTTATAGCCGTACTGCAAGATTTTGCAAGAATTTTTAATATACCAATCAGATCACACAATCATAGATGTTATTCCTAATATCCCTCATTAAACAGACACCACCAGCAATGGCCACACCTATTAACAAATATTCAGCCAATGAAATTTTATTCTCAAAGCAATTTTTTTTTCTTGTCTGACTAACAGTTCACACTACTTATTCAAAATGATTTTAAACAACAATTTGACAAGTGTTAAGTTCTGTTCTCTTGAAATCTTTCATCATGCTAAATGTTTTACATTATATGGAGCTACATAGGAGATGTCTGACAGTTTCTTTTAACCATAGTTTTTTCTTTTCACTCGCCCCGGTCAGATTTGGGGATGGAAACTGACCTTCCTAAGTTGAGAGACGGTACAGCTCCTCCACAGTTACCATACACGCACTTACTAGATTTATATTAGCAAAACATGCAGCAAATTATTTGCTATTATACGCCATATTTGCAGCATGGGTTACTTTGCGGTGGTCTATGGCAGAGAAACTTAATGAAATACATTGAGGTTAGTGGTTGTAAAATTATGAAATGTTTAAGAGTTATAGAGTAACTAAGGTCTTTTTCATTATTTTAGACTTCAATAATATATCACAGCAAACATGAAAAAGGCATTAGGTAGAATTATAAAAGAGCTTCACTTTCCTACAACAGAATTTAGTGCTGAATATTTCAAAAAGCCAGAATTAGACTCCATTGTGTCGCCACATAAATGAATGATTTTCTGTGATCCACATAGCGACAGACATCTATATTCAGTTGGTTCACACTAGGAAGGAACAGAAATCCAGCTGAGGAGAATCCAAAAACCCAGTGGGAGACACACCCAGCCTCCCACATAATTCTAGTCTAACCCTGATTAAGTCCTCTTTAAATTAAACCATTGAATCCTCTCTGTCCACTTTCCTTGGCTCAGACAGTTGCGGCTGTCGATGTAGGATGAGCGCCACTCAGAACTTTGATCAGGATTTAGAAGCCGCCACGTGAAGTATTTATTTTCCTTAAAGCTCAGCTGTGGCCCCTCAGGCTCCACGTTGACGTAATTATGAGTCCTACTGGATCAGACTGGATTATGTGCAAACAACTGTTTTTACAGTGTCACAGTGTTTTGCAGGTATATTTATACCCCTACAGCTATCCACATTTGTAACATCACAACCATAAACTGCTCTGTGCTTTATTAGTTGTTTTTTAGGGAGAAGATCTGCACAGAGTAGCACATACTGGTGAAGTCGAAGAAAGGAAAAGGGTTACATGCATTTATATTCAGCTTTACTGAGTAGATAGTTTGATGCACCTTTTTAATTAAAGATACAGCTACAAATCTTTCCAGCCCTG